TGTGTGTGTTCATATTTGTGGAAGTCTGGGGTTGATGTTGGGTATCTTCCTCATTCTTTTTAAAGATTTGTTTATTTTTATTTTATGCCTATGAGTGTTTTGCCTGCATGCATACAGATACATTGCATGTATTACTAGAACTGAAGTCATGGAGGGTGATGAGACCCTGTGTGGTTGCTGGGAACTGAACAAGACCCACTGAAAGAAGGAGGTGGTCTTAACCACTGAGCCATCTCTCCATCCCCTTTCTCTTACTTGCGGAGACAGGGTCTTTTGCGGAGGTTGCAGTTCATTGATTTGTCTAGGCTGGCTTACCAGTGAGCCCCGGGGCACCCGCCTGTCTGCTCCTGCTAGTTGTCTCCTGTGCCTGTGTTTCACTTGGGTGTTAGGGATCTGAACTCAGGCCTTCATAGCTGTGCCGCACTTTCCTCGGCCCCTTCAGTTCTTCACTTTCAGTAAATATGACCTACTCTTTCTGCCTGAAAATCAGTGGCCTTGTGTCAGCCTAGGAAAGTAGAACAAGGTGTAAGTAGTAGTCTCCAAGTGTCATCCTCTAATGGAGAAATCTTAGGGGGCTGGAAACCCAGGCAGGTCTTAACTCCTTCAGGACCACACAGACACAGGAGTTCTTAAAGTCATCTCCAAGTCAATCAGATCTGACTCTCAGAAGGGAACTTTTCAAAATCAAGCCTGCCTGAAAGGATGAAGATTTGTCATTAGTGGTACTATCTGGTTATCAAACAGTAATGGTGGCAATTACGGGGCTAGGTGGCAGGGGCTTTCCATACTTGTTAGTATATCCCTGTAGCCTACTGGCATTATCCTCCTTCCCATTAAATAGATGAGGTTTGGGAACTTAAAGAACTTGTTTACACAATATTGAAATCTGAACTTCAGTGTGTCAGAAACCCCAAACCAGGCTTTACCAATGTGGTGTTGTCTGGTGTATGTAACATATGCTTTTGGATGGAAATTCCAGGTCATTCCAAGAGCCGGATTAAGCTATGGGACTTAGTACATGATACAAGAATAATAATATGTGAGAACAATCTGTGAGAAGATAGGTACTGTGCTATTCAAAGAAAAATGCTGTAAATTCTCATCAGAATAGATTTTTCTTTGTTTTGGTTTTTGGAGACAAGGTTTTTCTGTGTAACCCTGGCTGTCCTGGAACTAGTTCTGTAGACCAGACTGGCCTCAAACTCACAGAGATCCGTCTGTCTCTGCCTCCTGAGTGCTAGGATTAAAGGTGCTAGGATTAAAGCCACCACCTCCCGGCTTGTTTTGTTTTTAAGTAGACAGGGGAGGCTGGGAATAGGAGGTCAGTTAGAGACTTGCCTAGCATGCACCAGGCCCTGGGTTTGATCCCCAAGCACAGAACAAACTGGTCCATTCCTGTAATCACAGCCCTTGGGAGGGGAAGGCAGGAAGATCTGGAGTACAAGGCTAGTCTCTGCTACATAAGACCTTGTCTCAAAAGTAAAATACAAATAAAATGAGAGATAACTCAACAGTTCAGAACACATACAGTTTTTACAGAGAACCCAATTTTGCTTCACATTACCTATGACAGGAGGGTTACAACCACACACAAATCCAGCTCTAGAGGAACTGATACCCTCTTTTGGCCTCCGTGGGTACCTGTATGTACTCTTTGAGCATTTAACCACATAAAGACACTCATGAATACTTAAAAATAAAAAGTAAATCTTAAAAATGATACAAAATAGAAAAGATAAGGGGCTGAGGGGGTGTAGCTCAATGGTAGAGTGCTTTACCTAGCAAATATGGAGCCTGAGCTTCAAACTCTAGTACTAGAAAAACTACTTAAAAAGAAAAGTTTAAAGGCAGAAAGGATTCTACACAGAAAACAGGTAAAACTTGGAAATTATGAAATGTGAACCCTGGCCCCTAGTTATTTATTATTAATGGATGACCTTGGCTAAATCTATTTCTTTATTTTTATATATTTATATAATAATATTTATATAATTAAATAGGATATATTACTAATAATAACATCTATGGGGATGGAGAGATGGCTCAGCTGGTCAAGACTAGGCTCACAACCCAAACTATAAGAACATCTGTGATTTAAAAAAAAAAAAATGTTAAAGCTAGGCAGTGGTTCCAGCACTCGGGAGGCAGAGGCAGGCAGATCCCTGTGAGTTTGAAGCCAGCCTGCTCTACAAAGTGAGTTCCAGAACAGCTGGGGCTGAAATACAGAGAAACCCTGTCTCAAAATTGCACCCCCCCCAAATAAATCTCATTATGGGTGGGAGATATAGCTCAGTGATGGAGAAAACGCCCACCTCATATTGGCCTGTGGGCAAATCATTGGCGCATTTTCTTAACTGAGGATTGATGTGGGAGGGCCCAGCTCACTGTGGACGGTGAGGCATCTGGGCTGGTGGTCCTGTACGATTATATATACATGTATACACAAATATCTGCACAACCCAGGAAGTAGTACCCCTCAATATTACCTGCATCCTGCATCCAGGTTCCTGCTCTGACTTCCCTCAGTGATGGGCTGTTATCTGTGAGGTAAAATAAACCCTTTCCTCCCAAATGTTTGCCTCATAGGTTTGCCATGAGAGGCCAATGAGTGCATATGAAAACTTTTGAATAGACCACAAATCTTACAACATGGCATAATATGTATGGTCAGAGGAACTCTACTCCTGTCTAGTGTGGTGCCATACATACACGCCAGACTTGATTCAGCAGACTGTTTAATGTGTTACTTCCTTCTTCAATGCAAATATCCTTCCACAAAGCAACACCAGGTTCCAAGTCACAAGGTTCCCAGGTGTAACTGAATGAAAACATCTTTATTAGCAGTGCTTATCCGGGAAACAGGAGTGCTTGGGGCCAGTTGGGACCAAGAATATGAAGGCAACAGGGAGAAGGAAATAATCATATAACAACGTAAAACCCAGCTAGCCTGTTCTGTGCCAGCCTGGACCACACAAAAGTGATGTTCACGTTAGTCTTAGCTACAAAGGGAGACTGTCTCAAAACAATCCAAACGAAAATGTAGCTTCAAAGCCAACCGTTAAGTACCTCATTTTCTGTAAATTTCAGTGACCAGATATTTAAAAGATTTCTGCAATACTGCATTTTAATACTCCAAATAATTTTTCCTTTTCTATTCATTTTTATTCTGAGGATTAGAAATTGTTCAAACTCATTTATGAGACGGGCTTGGAAGCAACAGAGTCAAGGTACTGCTGTTTTACATGGGGTTAAAATAAAATTGCCAAGTAGATTGACTTTTTTAAAGTAAGTTTGAGGGTAAGTAGTACGGGGCCCTAATGTATTTCCAAAACTACTCTCTCCCCTCCCACTTCCACCCTGTCTCAGGCAATCAGAAGGATTCCTGAAACTTGCTAAAGGCAGTTAGTGACAAAAGCTAGATTTCCGTCAGCGGCTTTAATTAAAGTTAGCTTTTAGCCTGTGCCCTCGTCATGTGCCTAAGATTTAGATCGGGATTAGCAAACGCTAATCCACGTGTAAAGGCTCTGTGGGCTCCATACGGGTAGCCCCCCCCTCGTTCGCCTCGCCCTTTTTAAATGTACATTTCAACTCCTCTGGTTATCCATAATTAATTTCAAGAGCTGTGAACAAATTCCCATCGTTGGTGTCTCCTTTCATCAGCCTAACTCTTAAGCAGGTAACCCACCAAAGTCTGGCCTCGAATATCAAGCGCTGGACACCCTCTGGTCTCGCCTCTATTCCCAGGACAAGGGCCTTTATGCGCTTAGTTCTCACACATTAAAAACTTAATTAACTTGAAGCAGAGTTAAAAGTTCTTCCCCGAAGGTAACTGCTAGTTTTAGAGCTCTCTTAGATGACTTTCAAGCCAAGGCTGTATCTGATGAGACCAGGGATGATAAGAAGTCTCCAAATGTGGGTGGTAGTGGAGGGGGGGGGTGTCGCCATAGAATGCCTCCAGGGGCGCTGACAAGCGTCAGAAGTGGGAACTGGACTTCCCTGAACAGGGCCTGGGCGGGCGAGCAAAGCAGGGGGATGGGCAGGGGGCCATCAGGGGA